ACTTTTGATTATATAATTATAGCGAATGTTACATACACTTGTAAAGACAATACATATCTGATTACTTATTATTGTCTTATAAATGTATATATAAATGTTTTAATGTGTGTTGTTAGTGTATTTTAAAAAAAAAAAAAGAAAGATGGGATAAAATCGTCAATATTTATGATTAAAGTCTGTGGAAGTCATTACCTGTGTAAAATGAGGGAAATAAACTTATACTTTTTGATACAACTCAAAATAATTGTAAACCCTCTTTAACAATGGCAATACTTGTTCGAGACCTTGGTACCCACGCGAATATCGCTTGTTATTTTATTGACAACGTTCAAAATTTTATTTTATTTTTAAAATGTCACGGCCAGTTCACGATATTGCTTTTTAAACGTTATCATTATTTTATATGCCAGGGCGTAAAATAAGTTTTGAATTTAAAAGATATACAAATAACGATTAAGTCACAAGTAAGTAAGATTTAGTACACTAGAATTTTAGGTAAATTTTTGTAAACACTAATAATTAATATGGCTAATATATAATAATAATACTAAATTAAATTAAATTTTTACGACAGGTTTGGCTCAGTTTGTACTTGCTGTGCCAGCGGTCGCGGGTTCAAATCCCGTTGGGGGCATTCTTTTATGTAGTGAGCACGAATGTTTGTACTCTAGAACTAGATGACGCTGTGTGTAATGTCCCAACATATTTATTTATTATTTATATATAAATATAGTACCTAAGTGTTTCTGCGTATACAGGAATCGAATTTGCGATCTTTCATTGTATTAATATGTAAGTTTAATGTTATTCAAACGCATTCTTTTATTAAAAAAGTGCGTGAGTGTGCAATTCACACACGGTAGCAGTAAAACTTCAGAAATGTAACCTACGAGAGAATGAGATGAATATAGAGTATCAGGAGTAGGATAATAATATAAGGTTTATGTTTTTTTATAATACATATTTTAATTTTTACCAAGTTTGTTTAAAAGTTATTTTATATTTTATTTAACATAATATTTACAACATAACATTACATATTATTCAGAATTATTTTTATTATTTTTCAGTTCATGTGTAATGCATTCTATCTCATTCTCTCGCCGGCTTAATCCTATATATTTATATGTTTGTCTCTTTTTAGTGTCGCATTTTCGTTTCATCGAATTTCAAATCACATTTTAAAGAAGTTTCACTTCAATAACCTTAATAATTAATTTACAAATAAGAAAGATTTCGCGTAAGATCAACATCCGGATTAAGTACATACCACCCTTATAAAGTCGATCAACAAGGAATATTTTATGAAATAGGTAGAAATAGAACGATAACCTATATTCATATTTAATAACTTATGTTGTTTCTCTATATCTTGAAATAATTAAGGCCACCGAGCAAAACAAAATGGTCGAGTTTAATTTGAACGCTCACAGAAGGGCTCTAGCCTCGGGCCCTTGGGGCAAAAGTATTGAATCATGTTTCTCAATTTGGGTCCCCTTAAATTTCAACATAACAAAGTTTTGATGAAGAAAATATTTTAAAATCAATTTAAATGCAACACTCAACAGGCATAAATTGATTTGTTGACTAAAAAGTAAAAACGGTAGAAATCTAATGCGCAGGATATTAGGTACAATTAAAACATGAAAAATTAATAATGTATTTTTTTTAATAACTTTTTAATTTACTTACTGCTTATCTGTTTGAAAAAAAAGAAAGAGTGCATGTATTAATGTAAACACGCACAAGAAGTAAAACTTCTGTAGGTTATCTTATTCTGTAGGTATTAATTTATGTTTCATTGACAATATTAAGTTTATAAAGTTTATGGAAGCAAAAGCTAAACCTGTTCGTACCTAACGGTTAACTATACATACATATAATAAAATTCTGAGTCGAATCTGTACATACAATATTTTTTGGAAAATCTTATTAATTATGTTATTATTAATATTTGGATAATATTGTCGATACAGAGGCCGAATCTATAGTTTTTAGAATTTTGTTTGTCTGTCTGTCTGTATATGACCGCATCACGGAAGTTTTTCCGTTTTTTTTTTAAGTTTTTCATTGAAGGGGTTTTGATGAAATTTGGTATGGTGATAGCTGATCGTTCGGGTCCACATATGTATATTACATTTTTACTGCTGGAACATATCTCTGAGAAATCTATACTAAGCGTTAGAACGTAACGTAAGTAGAGACGAAATTAAGCGGGGCAAGGGTGAGTGGCTAGTCTATATTAGATACCTAAACATCAAAATATATTTTATGTTCTTTCATTGTAATCAATGTTTCTAATTTATTGGTTACTCCCCCACAAACTACTTTATTTTTGATATATTATCTCGATTTTCGATATAGGTACGTGAAGGACGGAAACACGTACTAATTAATATATATCTGTAACTTTAATATTCGATATAAATAATAGGATCAATATTTTGTGTTTACACTCTTTCTGTGACAACATGACGTGTTAGATCACTTTCTGCTTATATAGAGACTCATAGTCCTACTAGAGGTATAAACATCTAAATGTATTATAAACCAACGAAATCGAACGAGCGACCTCCACGATCCACCGTAGTAGACAGAAAACACGCTACATTGCATCACGTCGTTTCGATATTGAGGTGCTCTCACAACGCTATTTTACGCAACATTCATTAACTTACAGCATATATTAGCTACATAGCAAACATTATATTTTTTAATTAATAATTATCAGTATTCGCATTTCCCTAGGCTAAATCATTAAATAAATGAAAAAAAACTACTGCGAACAGATAACAAAATATAGGTACAATACAACAGGCGAACGTAGAATTCCCGCGCGCGCGAGCGAGACCGAGCGAGGCCGAGCGAGACTGAGCGACGAGCGAGCCCGCGCCCTCCCCCGCGAACCGTCAACCAGTCGCTCTCTGAGTGTTACCCGAACGAACGTGCCGCGAATTCACGTTCGACCTTAAAAAAACAAACAATTCTATAAACACCTTGTGAATACTACATATCGCAATATGAAGAGACCTTAATATAGAAATATTAAGTTACTTTTTAGTGTGAAAGGCTACTAATAGTAAAATACTAACAATTTTAAGTCTGCCGGTTTGACGTAACGTGTGTTTAATTCCGTCGGGTTATACTGTTCCGCTTGGATTATAAACCGGATATGTTAAAGAGGCGCGCTGTTTAAATCGATCGTGTGTCAGTGTGAGTGTTTGCAATTCGACCGGATTATGCCGGTTGTGTCATTGACTTGTTTGTTTACAAATGATTTACTAGTTATTTATTAAAACGCGATTCATTTTCAATCTGAATGTATTATATTCATTTGCTTTAAGAATATAAATGTGAACCAATGTTATCAAAATGTGTTTAATAGATCTACGTAAAATAATATTACAATAAATAACTTATCTAAAGCTTTAATAAATCGTAACTCGATGTTTGTTATTTAGTTTTGTTAATATGAATGGTTCAGAAGAAAAGATGGCACAAATTCAGAATTGGGGACTTGGCCCCAAGCGGAGTGGGTGGTATTTCTGGATAAGGGACGTGATAGGGAGTCGAAATGTTAAATAAAAATTGTCCGCGAACGTATGAGTAAAAAGTTATTGAGACTTAAAGTTACAACATTTCCATACATTTTCATATATTTCTTTACCACCATTCGGAGTGGGTGGTATTTTTAGATAGGGGAGGTGACAGAGAGTCAAAATATATTAAAAATATTTGGAGGAAACGTACGAGTAAAAAGTTATTGAGACTTAAAGTTATAACATATCTAACACATTTCCATACATTTCTTTACCTAAATAAGTGATTACAACAGATAAACATACCTTTAACGAATAGTACGCATCCTTTTTTATGTACATTACACATTTTCACAACAATTAATGCTTTATTGTATTTAATATTTTAATAATTTCACAACACAAACAAAATGATCTTACATTTTGACAAAAGCAAAACTGACACTTTGTTTTATATTACCGCTTAAATGACAACAGATTATATTTGATTATTTTTGCTTTTTCTGTTGGTAAAATATTAATATTAATAAATAAATAAATAAAAAGAAAAATATTATTTTCATTTCATAAATACATTTATGATTTTTTATCTGATTTATGTAAAATATATTGTTTTACAATTGTACATTTAGTAAAAAAAAAACATTTTTTTATCTGTGAATATTTTTCAGTATTATTGGCGGGTGTTCTTAAAATACCGCGAAGTTTCATAATTTGTGACTCTGTACTCTGTGTATTTTCCATTAGTTATTAGTTTTTGTTAATTTTTATATACTTTCGTTTCTTGTTTTTGTTTTAATATTATTTTTATAGTTTTAAGTGTTCATAGTGTTAGTGTAAACAATTTATAAACGTGAGTAGACTATTTTTAAAATCTAAATGTATTATTTACTTTTGGTTTTTATTTTGCGACATCGTGGTTAGTTTAAGACATAGGCTATTTATTTATTATTCGTCATATCTTGGTTAGGTTAGGTTAGAACATTTAAGATTATTTATTTATTATTCCTCATATCTTGGTTAGGTTAGGTTAGAACAGTTGCCACAACGCACGAGCCGAGCGAGCGAAGCGAGCGTGCCGCGGTAGCGGCCGGCGAGTGCCATAAATGACTAGAAAACTAGAAAATTCGAATTTCACGCAAAGTACAAATAAAGACAATCATCTGGAGATCATTTTGACAATTGAAAGTGACGTTTTGACTCCAAGTGTCTAAATGGTAGTAATGTCAAAATAATGTATGGAAATGTTGTAACTTTAAGTCTCAATAACTTTTTACTCATACGTTCGCGGACAATTTTTATTTAACATTTCGACTCCCTATCACGCCCCTTATCCAGAAATACCACCCACTCCGCTAGGGGCCAAGTCCCCAATTCTAAACGGCCGCCGAAAAGATGTCAGAGTTAGAATGGACAAACGAACAAATAATAAAATTAATTAATGAATATAAGAATAGACCGATGCTCTGGGACACCACCCATCCACTCTTCCGCTTACAGAGTTCAAAATATGAAGCGTGGGGTGAAATTGCAGACATTTTTGACTGTGAAATAGTAGATTTAAAGAAGAAATTCAATTCAATCTTCGCGTCTCATAGACGAGAGAAGTCGAAAGTCAGGCTAGGTGGACGGTCTTCATGGTTCCTTTATAACCATTTAAGTTTTCTTCCCAACCATCTCGCTAACGATGAAACGACAGCAACATCTGTGGTAAATAATAAACATGTGTGTACTATACGTATGGAAATTGAACTGCCTTGTCGGTTTAGCGGCGTTCACGAAAGTTCCTGGGTTCGAGTTCTAAGTCGGGCCAACTATGTTGAATTTTTTTGACAAATCAATACGACCGGTGAGAGGATCAGGTGTAGGATCGATGGTTTCACGTGCTTTACGAGTACTTCTTTAACTTCGCCCTTCAACTTGGCCCGACCACGAATTCAAACCCAGGACCTCTAGCCCTTCAATTAGCTGCTACACCAGTTTTGCCAATATCCTATGGAAACTAATCGCACATTCTCCGGCCTATAAAATATTAAATTTTCGTATGAAATAATGTCGCCCACACACTTATTTCGCAGAGCTACGTATGAGAAAAGCAACCAAACAAACACTCGCATTTTATAATATTAGTGAAGATTGATTCCATCCAATATGATCAGATGACACGCTTGGCTCAATTTGTAGTGGCCCTACTTGCTGTGCCAGCGGTCGCGTATTTGAGTCCCGCTGGGGGCATTCATTTGTATGTTGACGAATGTTTGTTGTCCAGTCATGGGTGTTTATATATGTATGTATTTAAAGTTATATATGTGTAGTGTATCAACTATCTGGTATCCATAATACAAGCCTTATATCTTACCATGGAACTAGATGGTATTGTGTGTTTATGTCCCTACATATTTATTGTTTATTTAATATTATAATACATATAGTTATGGAATTTAAAATTTGTCTTAACCGGGACTCGAACTTAAAGTTTCTGATCTAGAAAACAATTTAAATCGATCGAGCCAATGTAAAAATTCAAATGCTACTTAATACTAGACTAAAAAAGATAATCGTCGTTGCTTAGGCTTCAAGCGATTACGTGAAAGGCTTTAAATGTATTGACTGCAGTTGCCAATAAAATAGAAACTAATATAATACTTATTCATCTTTCATATACGTGGCGAACATCTTACACTTATAAGATAGGTATCTTATACGTGTACTTTCTTAAATTTACGCGAATATTGGAAATCTATCTTTTATACATATATAATAAAATTGAACCAAGTCGAATCTGTACATTTAATATTTTTTTTGGAATATCTTATTGAAATAGTCATTATTATCAATACAGAGGCCGTATCTATAATTTTTTTGAAATTTTGTCTGTCTATACGTCTGTGTCAGTCTGTCTTACTGGGAACACATCACGAGAAAAGCACTGGACAGATTTTGATGAAATTTGGTATGATGATAGATGGTTGATGATAAGAAACCTACACTAACCGTTAAAAAATGCATATAGAGACGAACCCAACCGAAGCAAGGGAGAGTTGGTAGTATATAATAAATCTTTGAAATAAATCGTTGTTTTTGAAGAGAGGAAAGAAACTCTCTACTGTATATATTATAAAAAGCATTAGTAGTTTAAACAAATAAGCACTAAAGCTACGACGATTTAGACTTTCAAAGATTTTAATTAATCACTAGCATTGCCCGCGGCTCCGCCCGCGTTTAGATCTCCAAAAACCAAATTCTTAGGTTTTACATATTAGTATACTCTTACATTGCAGTTTTTTTATTTTTCTCAGAAATGAGACATTTTCCCGCGGTAAAAAGTATCATATATGTTGATCCGGATAACCAGCTATCACCATACCGAATTTCATCAAAATCCCTCCAGTGGTTTTTCTGTGATGCGGTAACAGACAGACAGACACACAAAAATTCTAAAAACTATAGATTCTGCTTCTGTATCGATAAAATGTCTATTTCAATAAGATTTTCCAAAAAATATTTAATGTACAGACTCGGCTTAGTTACAATTTTATTATATGTATAGATTAAGTAGCTTTTATTTGATAGATTTATTGTATAACTGGAGTAAGGTTACTTCACTTGTATAGCAAATATACTAAAATTAAAGACCCTGACATACAAATACATATGTTACTATGTGCCCGCCGCAATTGTTTTCAATTCGGTGTTGATAAGATGACCTCGATTTTAATTCGCATAATGATCGACAACACAACACGATGTTTTGACCTTTATGACAAAAGCATTAAGATAAATAATCGCTTAGCCAAATTATATACGGAATTATTTTCAATCATACATACATATTAATATATATTAACAAAGCAGTAGCCGCGGTTTTGCCTGCGTTCAAACTTCTGATAAAAACATCAGTTTTACTAGTACAGAGGTCTGCCCGATTTGTAGACATTTATGTGTACTGCTCCGCTCTCTTAGGTAGTAGCATGATGATATATTGCCTATAGCCTTCCTCAATAAACGGGCTATCTAATGCAAAAATATTTTTTCTAATCGGATTAGTAGTTTCTGAGATTAGCGCGTTCAAACAAACAAACTCTCGTCTGTTTATAATATTAGTATAGATTTAAAGTATTTAATTTATATTTTAACAAAATTGTTGTTAGACAGTGTATAGTTTATCGCATGCGAAACAGGTTTGCGGGTCAACAGTGTTATAAACTCGCGGTATCATGCTAACCAGATTTCTAACTAGTCTCATAATTTAACTATTAGTTTTAACAATCAATGCTAATATTATAATGTGTGAAGATGTTTGTTGGTCCTTTCAGGCAGCAGGAACTATGTTTTATTGGCCACAGAGTATGTCATTTTTCTCTGGCCACGGGAGACTTAATGGTTTTCATGGGATTTTAGTATAATATTATTACTCTGGGCAAAGCATAAAAAAACTAGCTAATATAATTTAATTGTATAAAATACAATTTTTAAATAAATTTCGATCAATTTTTAGTAGCGATATTAATTATGCACTATATATGTCTATTGTCTATCCTTTTTACTAAATTAAAATAAATTATGGGAGAATTGAAGCCGCAATATCCTTTGTACAGATAATAATTACATTTGTGTTTTCAGGTAAAACCTCGTAAGAAACGGAAGACCCTTGAAGAGACAGAAGTTGAGCTGTCCTGCGAGGAATATGAAGACCAGGGCAATGAGAGTCCAATGCATGTCATGATAAAAGAAGAACCGGAGTTTGTCGAACAACTTCTACCAAAAATTCAATATGTCTGTACAAAACCACGTCTCACGAGAGTGTTAAAGAAAAATGTAGCTAAAGAATCCCATAGACCTCGTGTTTTGGAAAGAAAACTGTTCAAACGCTCGGAATATTTCAAGAAGAAAGACGAGTGTGATAGCTTTGGTGAATATATTGCTATGTCTTTGAGGAAACATGATGAGAGAACGCAATCAATGATAAAACAGGCCATCAATAATATTCTATTCGAGCAAGAGATGAAGAAGTATAATGCTGGACAGTATGTTGTCATATCCACTGTTGATGAAAACCCTTTAATAATTGGTGATGAGAGTGAAAAATAAGATAATATTATGGACTATTTGAAACTGTATCTACAGATAATATATCTAAGTTTTTTTTAAAAAAACAGAAGAAAAACTTATTGTACTTCTGCTTATAACATTGTCCAACTAAAATACAATTGAAAAATCATTTATTTAATAAACGCCGTTACGTTTTACAAGGAAATAAATAATGAAACAATTTGTATCGCTTATCTTTTCTTAGAACCCGTCAATCATAGCAAATTATATTAAATCTTGACGTTGTTCATAAAAAGAGACTTTTTAACAGTCCAATAACGCACGCGCTACTTTCAAAGTATTTTTCCTTAAATTTTTTATATCCAGAACTGTCTACGTGATGCATTGCACGATGGCTCTCGTACGAACGCAGTGGGACGATAAGTCTCAACGAATGTGAGCTATTCATTGCTTTTTTTTAGATTAAATACACGTAACAAAATGGAAGTAAAACAGCAATCTATATCCAAGTACGACAGGTTTGTTTTAATAACAAGATGTTCCAACACAAGGTAATACTTGCACCGTTGCATACTGTTACCACCTCAACCATTGCGCTTTTAAGATATAAATGCAATTCATTTTGCGGTAATAGGAGTGCAATGTATGAAAAACCATACATAGTATGAAGTAGGTAAAGGCTAGATGCATTAGAGCACGACGATCAGATCACGCCACTTTACGTCACTAGTTATTAATATGCACGTGACTTTGCCTCTACATTTTTTTTAATTTATTTACTTATCTACTATAAAATATATGTTTTCTACCTATACCTACATATAATAAAATTCGAATCTGTATATTAAATATTTTTTGGAAAATTTTATTGAAATCGTCCTTATCGACTTAGCGGCCGAATCTATAGTTTTTAAAATTCTTGTCTGTCTGTGTGTCTTGGCACGCATTACGCGAAAACCACTGGACAGATTTGATTAAATTTAGTATTATGATAGCTGGTTATCCAGATTAACATATAGGATACTTTTTTTGAGGAACTCGAGCGGGGCGAGGGAGAGTCACTAGTACAATATATATATAAAAATAAAGATATCAATAAGTTTTAAAAAGTGTAGGCTAAAGGAAAAATATGTTTATTTTAATTTTTATTTTACATAAACTGCAATTTGATTTTGTGCTTGCATCGATATTAAATAGGTTATATTGCAAGCTGTTACGCCAGCGGTTATTATATTTCAAAAACGACGCCCAACTGTCTGATATAACGACTGAGTGCTGAATTGGATAATTCGAGATGTTATTGTGTGTCTAATGTGAACAAAACAAATGTATATGTATAACATATAATAAAATTGTAACTAAGCCGAATCTGTACATTAAATATTTTTTGGAAAATTTATAGTTTTTAGAGTTTTCGTTTGTCTGTCTGTCTGTGACCGCATAACGAGAAAACCACTGGACAGATTTTGATGAAATTAGGTATGATGACAGCTGGTTATCCGGGTCAACATATAGGATACTTTATAGTGCGGGAAAATATGTCTGAGAAATCTATACTAAACGTTAAAACATAATCTACATCCATATATGTATATGTAGGTAGGTATCTTCATAAACAAATACTTATAAATACAATAATTCATCAATGAAATACTCTTCGTTGGCATCACTTAAGAACGGCTTGACAGATTTGGCTAATTTGGTTTTTTTTTCTAAATATGCGAAATAGTCTGAATAAGATTTTAAAAAAAGAAATCGGAGAAATTACCAGGAAAATGGGAAATTCGGCTACAACTGCAAATGAACGCAAAGATGAACTAAAATTTGGCAGTCGAGTACCTAAATAATAAATATGTATATAGGTAAATAATGGAAATATCTAGTAGATATGTACATACATCTTATTATCTCGGGAAAGAAAAAGGATCCTTAATAAAACCTTATTGGGCTTCGGCCATTTAAAAGAGAAATTGTTGAGTTTCAACAATAAGTTGAGTTAGCTGTACTGTATTAGGGTTTGGCTCTCTCTCTGACAAACCACTTTAATTGTTAGAAAATTAAACAGCCGGTAATGCATCTGAATGTCTAATCAAGTAAAATATTCTATTGTATTTATGTATCTAATGTCATATATTAAGAAATAATTACCACTTCTATAAGTGATTAATCAACGCTCAAATCATACCTATAGGGCTAAAAGGATCTTTTTTTAGCCCTTGAAGGAGTTGGTATGATAAATTTAAAATTTATAAGCCCCCAACCATTTTGGACCGATTTTCATCAAACATAGCTAAGAACACTCCCGACTAATTAACCTTTTAAACAAAAAAACAACAAAATCAAAATCGATTCATCCGTTCGGGAGCTACGATGTCACAGACAGATACACAGACACAGACACGTCAAACTTAAACACCCCGTCGTTTTTACGTGGTCGTTATGTAAAATTAAAAAAAGCTGGCTAACTTAAAACTTGGGTGTTAATGCTGTCAGAAAATAATGATAATTATTTTTTACTAGCATTGCCCGCGGCTCCGCCCGCAAAAACCAAAGTCTTAGGTTTTACATATTAGTATACTTACATTGCATTTTTTGTATTTTTTCTCAGAAATGAGATATTTTCCCGAAGTAAAAAGTATCCTTTATCATCACATCACAATTCCTCCAGTGGTTTTTCTGTGATGCGTTAACAGACAGACAGACAAAAATTCTAAAAACTATAGATTCGGCCTCTGTATGGATAACAATGTTTATTTAAATAAGATTTTCCAAAAAATATTTGATTTACACATTCGGCTTACTTACAATTTTATTATATGTATAGATAAATAAATTACCAAGGGATGCCGGGGTATGTCGCTAGTAGGTATGTTATACACTTAATTAGCAATAATACAAATAAAGTATTTCTTCAAATAACACGATATCTAGCACTTTCCACAGTATCTCCCATCTCTGATGGCTACGATAGCCTGTAAGCGAGGAAAGCCGTGTGAAGAGTTTCTATTTATATTACTTTACAATAAGCATTAAACACGCAATACTTTCTTCTGTATTTAATTATAATAATGTTAAATGTCTGTGTGTGTTTGTCTGTAATTGAATATTTAGAATTTTTACTCTAATTAAGTGAAATAAGGTGTTATAAAAGTATAACAACTAAGAAAAAAGATCATAAAACAGCTTTCTGTTTTTTTTTCTTAATCAAGAGGAAAAATTTGTGCAAAGGCATTAGTTTGGGTTTAACTCAAAGTCAAACATTTTTTACATACAAACATACAGGTGGAACTAATAAAAGCGTGTTAAAAAGGATTCTAAAATATATTTTTGCAAAGATTATCCATTTACTTTTTGCTCTTTTATTACTCTCACAATATGTCTTCTGTCATTTCAACTGACTACATGTTGCAATCCAGACCTATGGACAGACGGCGTTAGTGTAATAGGGTGGACATATCTATATATATTTGCTACGAATGAACTTAAGAGACTGAGGTAAACTCATACATGTGAAACCACAGGCTGCGACTAGTATAGTGCCATAATCTATACTTATTATAAAAATAAGTCCCCCGGCCGCGTCTTTCTGTCCTCCTGTCTGTCCTCCTGTCTGTCTGTACGCGATAAACTCGAAAACTACTGAACGGATTTTTATACGGTTTTCAACAATAGAAAGAGTAATTCTTGAGGAAGGTTTAGGTATATAATTTATTATGCTTTTATGTAAATTAGCTGAAATACGGCGACAAATGTTGAAGAGGTCGCAAAAAATCTCGCCAAATGGGAACTTTCCACGCGAACGCCGCGTAAACTAGCAAAGATACAGTTAAGTAATGTACTAGAGAATTCAAAATCTATAAAAATGCTACAAAAAAGTCCGCGATAGCATATCTCTATCTCTTACGGTTGACTTACAATAACCACTTTTATGTTAACATTTTTAATTAAAAACATTACGTTATTTTCAAAGTTATTTTCTTTAGTTCGGTATTAATCCTTATCCAAATGAATATTTTAGTTAGCTTAGTCATTTAATGCAGATTAAAATTGCTCTTTACACTAAATCAATCAGATGAATAGTTTTTGAGATATCGTTGTTAGAAGTAATTAGTAGCGAAACATTTTTAATGCTTGGCGAGCATTGAGATGCCTACGGCGAGTCCATCCCCTCTGCCCCGCATCGCTCGACCGCCTGCTCAAGCTATATAAACCGGGCGATGTAGCGCGCGATCCTAGGATACTTTTTACCGCGGGAAAATATCTTATTTCTGAGGAAAAATACAAAAACTGCAATGTAAGAGTATACTAATATGTAACACCTAAGAATTTAGTTTTTGGTCATCTGAACGCGGGCGGAGCCGCGGGCAATGCTAGTAACGTATATAGATGACAAAGACTGAATAAAAACAAGTTTTAAAAACGTGAACGTGACTTACAGCGCGGCGCAATGAATGTAAATTAAGTAGGTATTTGTGACAAAAATATCTAAGATAAGGTCGCTTATTTGCACTTTGTTCTTAATAATACTATAACTAATTTATTTTGACGAAAAAAAGTACTTTATTTGTCTAATTGTCTCTATTAGATTTGATTTTTATATGTGTAACAGTACAATAACATACAAGTATTCTTTATTGCACACTTTTTTTTAAAGAAATCGAACCTGCGACCCTTGATCTAATAGGCATTGCATTGACAGTCAGATTTAAACTGTTTATTTACGTTATAACATGGTTACTGATTTAGGGCATGTAAAAAAAATCACAATGTATTCAGCCCTTTTTAACGTCCCACTGCTGGGCACGGGCCTTCCTTCAGTACGAGGGCGATCAGGCATTCATATGTCTTTCGGTAACTTGTTAGGTTACCTTAGAAATGGGGCTTTCCTCACGATGTTTTCCTTCAACGTAAGACAAGTGGTAATCATGTTAGTTCATTAATTCGCACATGAAAATATCAGAGGTGCGAGACCCGGGATTTGAAGCCGCTTCACTCGGTTCCCCACGCGAGCGCGCTATTGCCATTGCCCAGTGATA